AAGAAATTGAGTAGTGAACCCCATAAAAAGAAATTTAAACGAAATAATTCTCCTGCTCGACTCAATTGTTACTTTTCGCTAACTTTATATCATTTTTCTCTGGCGAAATCGCATCTGCTCGTGAGATGTCCTATTCAACTTTTACAAAGCAATTAGGTCGATCGGTGTGAACGAAGAATATCCGTCCGCAATAGAATCGATTAACAAATTGAGCCAAATAATCAAGACACTTTATTGATACATTGTCATTGTTTTGCTTTGAATTCGACTGAGAATTTTGCATCGGTGATTAGATACATTGGATAGTGGGAATATTTTCAGTTTACGACATGCACCGAATGAAACACCAACTGAACGCTTGTATCGACACGAGCGAGAAGCTTTGAACCAGTGGAATAGCTCGTTTTGGACTGAACATAATGTGCTCTATGAGAAGCGTAAAGCCGATTTCATTGCTAAGGTTCCTCTGACTTCATCCAATTGACATCCTATTTGACAATGTTGTTGTGCTTTTTTAAATTTCAGTTTTACATACCTAAAGTAAGTCTTGAATGCACGCAAACCACTGTCGACTGGTTTATTTTTTAGGGTGATAAATAGCGAAAATTTCATTTCATCATAAACAGGTTTCATTTTTAAAAAAACCAAATTTCTTTTATATGATCTCTAATGGATGATAATTAATTCTCTGAGAAAACGATTTTATGAGTTGTTTCGCTTCGATTATTCTCATATACGCAAAGCTTATGCTTGCGTTTCCTTTTCATTTCTTCTATAACTGGATGTGCACATGTTATTGGTAGCGATCATTCAGTCAAATATATACACCAAAAAATGCAACTGAACTATCTTCTTTCCTAAAGCTTGAATTCATTGCACTCGTTTGGTTTTTTCCGTGCGTGTGTGAAAGGAGAGCATTTTCGATTTTCAAACTAGTAACTTTCAAAATTGTTTCGGGTTATCGAAAACGCGCCTTCCCATCACCATCACCAATCGTTAAAGAATGCTGCAGTTCGTTGATTTGAAATTGCTCATTTTAAAAACACAGAAATATAAGATCATTTGATCGTTGAATTCAGTTTTCTTTTTGCATTCAAATCCGAATTCTTCGCGAGTTTCCAATTTTGTAATGTAACTTTTTTGTTTCGTAGACGTTCGTTTCAGTAACTTCTGAAACGTTTTCATATTTGAATTTTTTGTGTCCATTTCAGAAGAAGAATGAAATCGGACAATTGGAACATATCAATGCTAATGATCTATCGCAATTCTATAGGGAGTTTTTGAATGAACGGAAAGTCGCACTGCGCACCTACAATAAGTTTGTTCTCATTGTCATTGATCGTTTATCTTTCTCATTACGCAAACAGATAGTTACTCAATTGAATCGGAAACAGTATGAATGAGAACTAAAGGAAATATTAAATTTTTGTTGGGTAGCAACGAAAAATTTTCGAACGAGTCATGTTCACAGATCGATATTTTACTGTGGATTTTCAGGATATGGTATAAACGAAATTTGGCACTCATATGGCCTGCCCTCAAAGTGAATTTGATTCGATTCGCACGTTTGATTCGACGACGATGAAGCGTTTCATTAGGTTTTACTGCGCTTTGTTT